GTTTGATAGTTTTTCTGGAAAGAGCAGAGACCTCTTGCAGGTAAACCAATAATGTGGTTAATTGCCAGTTGCCTTCTGAAGTGAATGTGTTGTCAAGCTGTACAAACATGTCTGTTTATGTCTGAAATATTTGGTTAGTAAGAAGGCTAGTTACAAAGTATAGAGAGGACTGAACATTACATTTGAATCTTATACTACTAGCACCTAAGTTGGTTACACGTAGTAAGATAGTAACTAGGAGTCTGCATCCTGTGAGGTAAAGGAACACATGGAACAGCTTAATTTTTGAAGAGGGCATGGGGTCCTGCATATATTTTACATGGAAATAGCACTGAAAGGTAAAGACAAGGGATTTTAGGATGTTTCTCCTCATTTTCTGGCAAACTACAGTATATCTGCAAAATTCCCATACATTACAGGGGTGTTCAGCTGACTACTTATTTCATGTTGGTGGACATGACTGCACCCTTGATATTCACATCATCCAGGTCTCAGACTACAGAAGATTATGGACCCGTTTACACTGTTGCATGCAACCCATTAATTTTGAATCAACACAGCTGAATTATTAGTTGACAGCTCAGCACACCATATTTAGATATGTGCTTATTTTATATATTTGTGCTGAGGGGCCCTTCAGAATGAAAGGCAATGCACATCCCATTACAATGCCTTTAAAACACGTTAACACTGTGTAAAGATGTGAATTCAGACTAAATCGGTAAGTGCCTCTCCCAGCAGCTGGTCATAGTACAAGCCTGTAACTTCACTCCTGTGAGATCTTCACTATGGGGCCTAGGAGGTAATAATAGCTTTTCCTCAAACTATTTAAAATTCTGCACCTGCACGTCCACATGATGTACTCCACCCCTGTAAAGAAATGTCCATTCACAGTCTTTCAATCTTTTGAGTAAATTCTCTGCACGGATAGCACTAAGGAAAATAGAAAGTCTGTGTAGTGCTGATCCACACCCATAGTAAATATCTAAACACAGATACACAACTATAGGTGTTCTGTCTCTCCAATCTAAACATTGATAGTGTGATCTCTGTAACTTACAGTTGTGATGAGATAGCGATAACTTCAACCTCAGTTGGATACCACAGTCAGTGACTCAAATCGATAAGACATCTTGTGAAGTTTATTCCATAAACTGAGAGAATCTTACAACAATGAACATCAGATAGGTCAAAAGATCATGTTTCCTGCTCCAGGACATGAGGCTAGAGCTGCAATGCATTTCTGGGAAGGGAGTGGGCTATCTACAGTTAGGTCCATAAATATTGGGACATCGACACAATTCTAAAATTTTTGGCTCTATACACCACCACAATGGATTTGAAATGAAACAAACAAGATGTGCTTTAACTGCAGACTGTCAGCTTTAATTTGAGGGTATTTACATCAAAATCAGGTGAACGGTGTAGGAATTACAACAGTTTGCATATGTGCCTCCCACTTGTTAAGGGACCAAAAGTAATGGGACAATTGGCTTCTCAGCTCTTTCATGGCCAGGTGTGTGTTATTCCTTCATTATCCCACTTACAATGAGCAGATAAAAGGTCCAGAGTTCATTTCAAGTGTGCTATTTGCATTTGGAATCTGTTGCCGTCAACTCTCAAGGTGAGATCCAAAGAGCTGTCACTACCAGTGAAGCAAGCCATCATTAGGCTGAAAAAAAACAAAACAAACCCATCAGAGAGATAGCAAAAACATTAGGCGTGGCCAAAACAACTGTTTGGAACATCCTTAAAAAGAAGGAACGCCCCGATGAGCTCAACAACACCAAAAGACCCGGAAGACCACGGACAACAACCATTGTGGTGGTATATACAGCCAAAAATGTTAGAATTGTGTCAATGTCCCAGTATTTATGGACCTGACTGTATACAGCATTAACTAAACCAAAGGAAAGGGAGGAGCAGGAACAAAATATAGAAACTCTTAAAGGCATATGACAGTCATGTGAAACATGACAATAGGGAAATGGAGACAATGGTTAAACCACTGGGGAAGAGCAGTAAAAGATATGTACACTTCAAAAGCACAAATCCTTGAAAGGGTTAGAAGCAGTAAAAGATTTGTGATTGCAAAAAGCTTAACTCTAGGTTCACACCGATGCAGGTTGCGGTTGATGTGTTTCTGCGTTGCGATTTTGCCATTTTATTTTTTAATTTTTCTTGTTGCTAGGCAGATTTTATATGCAAAACGCATCACAAATGGATAAAAAAGCAATACATGCTTTTCTGCAGCATTCCCATTGAAGTCTATAGAACCAAAAACGCAACATTGTGCGTAAAAAAAAAAAAAAAAAAAAAGGTCTGACCCTTTCCAAGAAATGCACCGGGTGAACACGCAGAGGTATGAACCTGTCCCATAGGAAATCATGTTAAATGGACTGTACCGAGTTTCTGCAAAACGCTGCAGAAAACACTTAGGTGTTAACCAAGGGTTAAATGGTTTCTTAGACAATTGTCAGGACAAAGCAACACAATGACCCAGGCCTTTGAGCAGGAGAACTAAATCAAATTTTAGCCATCTCCTGATTAGTGGTGTCAAATCAACTTATCTAAAATCAAAGGCTCCTATCAGTTAATGCTGCAATTATCTAAAACCAGCTGACAGCTGCTGCACATATTCAAAGAATAAGGCCACCCATCTCCCTAAAGAGAAGACTGACAGCAGCCACTAACTCCCAATATTAAAGAGGTCAAGGCAAAGAACTAATTGGGAAAGGGGTGTTGGCGTAAGGTCAACTTAGATTACCTCATCTGCATAGCAGCAACCATCCCAAACCAAATGATAACATGAAAAATGAAGCTGACAAAATATTTTACAACCACTAAACCTCTCCTGGTTTTGTGTCAAAAGATAGTAAATAATTAAAATGATGAGTAATACAGTTTACCTATGGTATGTGTACAAAGCATTACATTACAACTGACTGCCAACTTACCTTCAGGTCTTTCACAGTTGTACATACTCCTCTCGTGTATAGAAATTGCTTACTCTGATTTTACTGCACACTGGAGTTTATTTACTAAAGCTGGTTCATGCAGAATCTCATGCACCTGTGCATGGTATGTGAAAACAAAAATCTGCACTACACCTAACATGTAATGTGAATAAAAGTGAAAATATATGTATATCTATGAATTAAATAAAATTTATATAGTGAACTGCAGCTGCTCTCTTCCTGAATACTAGAATAATCATAAATAAATAAGTGCACTGTACACTGATTAATCCTGACACGATAAACAAAAAATGAACCACAAATTCACATATGCAAGTGTACAAAGAATGCATATAAGGTGCTATGAATCAATGTCCGTAACATAAAATACTTAATAAGTCCCAAATTCAATGTGAAGGTGCTGAACATAATCTTCAACAAATTGCTATGGTGTCCACAAGTGCTCGCCACACCAAACAAATCAGCCTCCTACCAAACCAATTTGATCCCAAATCAAGAGATCAAAACGAGCAGATGGTGTCCAGATTCCACACGGACACCCGTGCTATCAATATCGAGGGAGATGGATGGACAGCTACGGGCTCACCTGGACGAATTCCTCACACCAAACCACTCGCCCTACAGTGTAGAGAAGGATTAGAACAGAAGAGACTTCATAGTGCAACCCGATAAAACACAAATATTTATTCAATACAAATTCAAATCAACTGCGGTGTCGTTCCGCCGGTCAGAACGTGGTGACATCACAGAAGACTCCGTCCAATGAGTTTCTCTTTTGATAGGTTACTACCTGAAGAAGTCACATGACCTTTGATGAAACATGTTGGGTGGAGTCTAGTGACATCACTTCAAGTCATGCCCAAACCGGCACGAGGGATGTGAGGAACCATTTTGATTGATGGCTGTGATATGCTTTTGATTCAATACTTTTGTGAATTAATTTTTTATTTGAATAAAGTGTTCATATTATATGGGGTTGCACTATGCTCTATTCACTTTATTTTTGATCATATACAGCTTAATTCCACTGGATATACAAGAGCATGTTCCCTTAAAGGGCCAGAACTAATGAAGTAACCAAGGATCGGCAGTGGATAAGCAGAATTTGGTTTCATCCCTAAGCGTTTATGACCTTTTTGTTACGTCAGGGAAGGGGAGTACATGATGCACCTACCCGGGGATGGGAAACACAATATAGTTGGCACGGTGGAGTAATGCATATATGTTCACTATAATTCAGAATTGTATAGAATTTGTTTAATGAGAGTGGATATTGTAACACGTTTAATTTTTGGTTATATAAAACAGTGTTGCACTATGGTATGTTTTTGTTTTATTTTGCACGGATCTGGAGATTAAAAGAAGCATAATACTTGGAAGGAACAAGTCACAAATCAGAAATTTGGAGACACATTTTCCTTATAAAGCAAGTTTTTGGCCTATTATAATTTCTAGGTCAATGGTCAAGGTGAGCAGGGAGTGTGGCCACAAGTCAAGCATGGTGTTGATTATCGCTGGATGTTAATGCAACATATACTGGATTGGACATTTATTATTGGAGTAAAATATTTTCTTGGACTGTCACTTTGTGTTTCTAAAGCTTATGGTTCTATTTATGATGAGATAGCACACCACACATTTTTTTTCCCCCATTTATATGGATTACATAGCTTCAGGGAGTTTCTGGCCCTGGGGCACTGTGCATACTTCTACATACACATTTTATCCAAGAGTGGAGTTATTACTAAACAATGCAATATATTTTACACAGATAAAAAAAAAAAGGCATGATGGTTCTGAAAACAACACACATCCATAAGTCTGCAAAATGTCCCAAAATGGTGTTATTAAATGTAAAATTCCACCTTTAGGACTAGTATTGTCAAGCAAGGTCAGTTTGTGTTTCATTATTATTCCTCAACGTGAAAGTGCAGCTAAGCACATGGCAAAAGGTATCTCTTACATCCATGCCTGCTAGCAGTTAAAGTGTATGGTATCCTGTCAGGTAAGATGAGAAAGAGGTCATGGCCCAGATCCTGGAAGCTCTGCCACAGGGTCAGTGTTAGGCTGCAAAGACTGATAACCCTCTTTCAAAAGGTTTCGCCAGGCCTTCAGGAAACGGGCATTTTCTGTGCATTTAGCTGCAAGCTCTTCCACCTGAGATGATAAAGTTGATGTTGCTTCAAGCAGTTTGGTCAATGAAAAGGCAGCCTGTAAAACAATCATAGCAATAATAAAACTATAAATATTTAACTATGTTTACCAACTTTAACACCCATGTTTTTTATAGGATGTAAATTTATTAGAGTGGACCTTGAACTTAAACAAAAAAACAAAAACCCTCACACACAGAACACATCAACACACAGTGAAAAGATGCCTATCACAGCCCCCAGCTTTCACCCCATTTGCCTATGTGCCACTGAAATCCTTCAACCAGCCCACAGCCTCATAGTAAAACATGGTGATCCCAAGTCTCATTCTTTTCCACATCAACACTTGGTTGAGGGCCTTCTCCTCACTACAATTTTATGCCTGCAAATTGGTCACTAAGGCCCCAAGCATGGCATCTTGGAAGTAATGCCTTTGTCACGCCAGCCACCTTGTCGCTAGCAACAACCTATCAACAACAGGATTGCTAGGGTTGGCAGGGAAACTACTCACCATTTTCTATGGCATTGCACACTCACTGCAAAACCAGTGAAGGATCAATGCCATAGAAACTGGGTCCTCTGTAGAAATCACTATTGTGGCATAGGCCTAAGAGGAGAAGGTCCTGTCCTCCCTCATACCTGGAAGTACGAGGTATTTCCATGGGCCCCAGCAGACAAATGAAACAGAAGGGGAGAGCAAAGCAATTGAGAGATAGTATGTTTCAGCTTGTCAAGAGAACCAGTTATTGTTTTATTCGGCAAAGTGGCAGATTTGGTTTAAAAGCATATCTTCTTCAGTGTTACTAAACCCAGGACCCTGCATTAACTATATCCAGTCTCCCACAGTGCACAGAACATTAAAATGTAATAACTTTAGTAAATATAAACTGCTAAATAACTTATCAGTATATAGCAGTCTTGTGACTTGACTTCTATCAGTGTCTGGGTGAGCACTGGCTAATCTTGGAGGAATTTTCATTCTCTGCTGTTCTATGAGGCTGCATGACCCCTGACCCTCGGTCTGTAGAGCACTGATTGGCCCTGTGCTAATTACATGCACCCCCCCAAAAAAAAAAAACCCCCCAAAAAAAAACAACAACTTCCACACACCTCTCTGGCAATACACACCAAACAGAGCATGTGCAGACCTGCCACTGCTGTTTTGTACTACAGCAGATGGATTGGGGACAGAAAAAGGGTAGGATCAAAGAAGTCAGGATCAAAGCCTTTTTACACAATGCAAAGGATCAGCCCCTTTGGTTCCACGGTGAGTATAACTAGCATGCTTTACTGCATATACAGACGCTTGTGGGTTTAGTAACACTTTAGTGAACATTTTCCCCAGGAGAAAAGCCAGTGACTGAGCCCTCTTATGTGGGCACAAATGAGTAGTTACACAACAATCTTACTGCAAACACCACTGACTATATCTACATGACACACAGGTGGAGAACACTCCTGCCACACCATTAATTATACAGGCTAGAAGAATGAATATGCAAAACATTATTGGTTAAACTCAAAAATGGTTTGCTCAGCTCTACTCTTCCATTATATTGTATTTGTTACTTTGCAAATTCAGTATAAAAAAAAAAAAAAAAAAAAAAAAAAGGTTTAGTGGAGTATTACACTTCTATACATTAAAGCAAAATGGAGAACTGAGGAAGAATGAGATACCGAGGGATTTAGTCCCAAATAAGGGACAGTTGGGGGTTAGGAATCAGCAGCAATTATACACATTCTCGGTCAGAAACCACTAAATATCTACCTGTTGCATTAAAGTTTATGTAAACCCTCACTGAACAACAATCTGCTTTCTAAAGCACTGTATCAAACAATCGCCTTTTATTTCATACCATTTCCACCCTATGTTGCAAAGGATATCCTACAGCCTCTCTACAGCTATGTGTTGTTGACATGTATGCATTCCAGGGATGCATGTACAGCATTTCTCAGGGGTGATATTTCCTGATGGTGACAACAGTAAGGCATTCCCTCAGACTAAAGCAGGCCACAGATAGGGCGAAAATCAGTTTAAAAAAAAAAAAAAAATAAAAAAATAAAAAAAAAAATCCCACACACAACCGGCCGATTTTCATCCAGTCTACGGCCGACAAATATAACAGCGGTGTCCCTGCAGAGAGCTCCGCTATTATATTTGACCGTTAAAATTATAGCAAAGTTGCAACATTGTATCTATTTGTATCCATTTCGGATGCAGATGTTTCTATTTGGATACAAATAGATAAAAGTATTGCGGTTGCAACATTGTAACTGTCAAATAACAGCGGAGCTCTCTGCAGGGACACTCCGCTATTATTTTTTACATTTAAAAGTATTGCGGTTGCAACATTGTATCTATTTGTATCCGAATAGAAACATCTGTATCCGAAATGGATACAAATAGATACAGATGTTCTTTCTTTGTCTTCATCTTCTTCTTCTTGTAGGTCACGGCTCATGTGCATTTTTTTTTTTAATTGGTAAAAATATCGGCCGATTTGCCCATCATTGCCGTGAAAATCGGCCGATCGACAAAATCTGCCGTTTTTTGTCCAACATAACCGATTAAAAAAAAAAGTGTCAATCACGAAAAATGGCCAACAAATTCACCCACTAACGATGAGAAAATCGGCCTATTATTCTTTCGGACGAATTTACGCCGATTTTCGACCCATCTATGGCCTGCATAAACATCGCATTACCACGTACAGCTCCCACAAGATACGATATTCAACAAGATGACAACACAGGAACATAAGTGAGAGACCATGATTCAACAAGCCCCTTTGTGGCAGGATCACCAGTTTTTGTTTTTTAAATGAAAACTACAAAATTATAAAAAAAAAAAAAAAAAAAAAATTGAAAATTACTTTAGAAACAGTAATATACACATTTTTTTTTTTTCTTTGCCTCACAGTTACTCCACCCCTTCCCAACCCCGCCAAAAACTTACATGTACAGCTGACTAGCACTAGGGATGCATCGATATACCAGTGGCCGAAAATAGTATTATCTGCATTTTGCGGTTAGGAAAAAAAGGTGCCAATAATGGCTGCCGAAAACGTGCGATTTTACCACATTTAGGGTGCTTTTCATAGGATGGGACTCGAAAAACAAAACCGCATCAAAAAGGCAGCACGTGTGCGTTTTGATGCAGTTTCAATGCATTTCTGGCCTGGTTCACACCAATGCAGTTTGTGTTTTGTCCAGTTTGCATGCACATTTGACGCATTTTCTGAAATTTTTTTAGCTAACTTGTTGCTGGGCAGATTAAAACCGCAAAATGTGACACGTGCTTTTTTGCTGCAATTTCAATGCACATCAGGCCTGTGACATCACTGCAGTTTGCCTTTTGCACGCATGTTTTTGACGTGCATGGCTTTTTATTTTTTGGCCAGATTAAAAATGCAAAACACATGTTGCGTTTTTGATGCGTTTTCAAGGGTCCCTGACCCTTTTAAAAATGCAGCAGCTCAAAAAAAAAAGCATAGATGCTATTGAGTGCCATAGGAAACCATGTTAAATGGACTGTAGTACATTTCTGCAAAAAGCCCTAAAAACACATTGGTGTGAACCAAGCCTCAACAGGGAGGTGCATTTTTGGTGCTCTTTTTTTTTTTTTTTAACTCGCCAAATATGCACCAAAAAAGCAGCAAGCACGATTTTTCACATCACAATGGACCTTTGTAAGACATACATTGAATTTAAAGGGATGAATTTTTCTTGAGCGTTTGCGCCCTTTTTTTTTTTGCTCAGTGTGAAAGCAGCCTATTGGCCAAAAAGGTGCTGAAAAGAAATTCATATGCATGATATTAATTAAAAAGTTTAATAGAATATATAGAATTTTTTTAAAAAAAAACTGTCCATTTTAGTTTTCGGCCAAATGCAACCTGAATTTTCATTTTCAGTCCAATAATTTCAGTGCACCACTAGCTAGCACAAAAGTATATCGCATATTCCCCAAATCCAATTTAAGAAAAAGTGCAGCACTCCTCTCCTTACAGTGAAATTCTGAAGTCTTTCCATGCCACTGGGAGGAGCTTCTGCACTGCCTACCGGAGATCTAAACGACTGCAGTGAGACCAGGCAGTGGTGTGAGTACCAGTACATGCAGTGTTACATCATTTTAAATGGGAGTACAATTTTTTAAGGTCAATAAAGATTAATTTTAAACCAGAGAGCAATACACAGTCCCCCTATATCTCTGAGGAATTGCTATATGCGGTGAAAGCTGCGTTACTGAGCAGGGAGAGGGCTCCCTAGAGAGAACATTAGTGTGTCGGTTGGCATTCTGCAAGGTGTGACGAAGGACCGACTGCAACATCTATACTATGGCATTTGACCTTATGTGCACTCAGGGTCAATTCCTGATGGTGAGCCCATTGTTTGCACATGTGTGGTGATCAGGAGGGGTGACACTTTAATGAACCCTGTGATTTCTATAGACACTATATGATCATGAAAACACACACACTTTTTGTTGTGGAGAGACATTAGAATGTCACTATAAGGTGGGGAGGAGTGCTTCACCATTTCATATTTATACATTGTAGATCTTTTGGTCTATAGGTTATTTTGAATTAATTTTAGGACTTCTATTGCTTTATTTTCACCTGGTGATGCAGACAGCAAGTCTTTTATTTTTCAAATTCCTTTAACAGACCAAGCTGTCCAGCAAAAGTGGCAGTTGGAGATTTGAAACCAAAGTGAAACTTTACTTTAAAAAAAATAAATACATCCATCCATTAGAAAGCAGGCTTTTCAATACATACTATGATACTAAAAGCCAACCTATTTTGGTTTATTAAAAAAAACAAACAAAAAAAACGAATATAAATATATATATATATATATATATATATATATATATATATATATATATACACACACACACACACACACACACACACACACACATATACACACACACACTTTAACCGGCATAGAGACGTCCCTTACCTCCTCTTCTGCCAATCCCCTGCCAAAGCAAGTCTCCTTCTCCCTCTCCCCTCCTTTGCATGCCAAGTGCTAAGAAGGCATATATGTGTGCACGCTTCCAAGCTGGGCTGT